CAGGTTTTCCTTTCACTCTCAAAATTCATATAAAAACCATAGTTTTATTATAAAGCAGCATATATTCTTGTTTCATTGTGGCAGTGGCAGGAGGGAACAGAGGTTAGGGAGAGATTCTTGTGATCTACTGACTTTGCCCTAATACCATCTAGATAATAACACTGTTTTTAATACAGAAAGTAGTAGATAGTCCTCGATGTGAACTCTAAGTCTTCTGTTATCTGCGTTTCCCATGCACTTTTTACTCATTCTCCAGACTTTCTCAGAAAACTGTGCTAGCATACTTGCAGATTTCTTGGAGGTTTCAACGATGAAAGTGGATCTTAAATACACATGGCCTGGTTACGGAGAGAGAGAGGAGAGAAGAGAGAGAGAGAGAGAGAGAGAGAGAGAGAGAGAGAGAGAGAGAGAGAGAGAGAGAGAGAACGAGAGAGAGAACGAGAGAGAGAGAACGAGAGAGAGAACGAGAGAGAGAGAACGAGAGAGAGAACGAGAGAGAGAACGAGAGAGAGAACGAGAGAGAGAACGAGAGAGAACGAGAGAGAGAACGAGAGAGAGAACGAGAGAGAGAACGAGAGAGAGAACGAGAGAGAGAGAGAGAGAGAGAAGGGAGAACGAGAGAGAGAGAGAGGAACGAGAGAGAGAGAGAGAACGAGAGAGAGAGAGAGAGAACGAGAGAGAGAGAGAGAGAGAGAGAGAGAGAGAGAGAGAACGAGAGAGAGAGAACGAGAGAGAGAGAGACGAGAGAGAGAGAGAACGAAGAGAAGAGGAGAGAGAGAGAGAGAGAACGAGAGAGAGGAGAGAGAGAACGAGAGAGAGAGAGAGAGAGAGAGAGAGAGAGAGAGAGAGAGAGAGAGAGAGAGAGAGAGAGAGAGAGAGAGAGAGAGAGAGAGAGAGAGAGAGAGAGAACGAGAGAGAGAACGAGAGAGAGAGAGAACGAGAACGAACACTGTTAATGCTAGCGAATTCATTGCATAGGTCCAGATGAAAAAGACACGTAAAACACTTCGGTGGCTTTATCAATCCAAAATAGACAATACTGGAGATGATGGAAGACATGACTCAGTATGTGGTGATCAGTCCCTCAGCCTTGAATCTGTTGCAGACGGTGGAAGACGTCAACAAGTAGCTTGAGGTGATTCCTTCAGCCTTGAAACATATTGTTCAATATATTCAGCGTATTAGCATGACCCACATCCACTAGTGGGCTCCGCCCAGCTCTGACGCCATCTTTATACTACTTCACCTTTCCTGTCTTCAGTACATAAGTCTTTCAGTATGTAAGTCATCCATCAACTCCTTTTAGGGCTGAGGGACTGATTACCTCAAACTACTCGACCTTCACCGTCTCCAACAGATTCATCAAGGCTGCAGGAGAGGGGGGGGGCAGTGACCACTGCTTCATGTCTTCCATCGTCTCTAATATTACTCTCTATAAAGAACAAAAAGGCACAATACCGTGACTGGACCAATATACAAATAACCCGCACACAGGAGAGAGGAACCGACGACATCTCGGTCCAACTTGGACCATTTACAAAGTCACACTAATATAAGAGAGAGAGGGAGTCAGTATATACAGGCGAGGGGAGGACAACAAGGACTGGAACAATTGAGAAAGACAAGGCAGTAGCGGTAGTGTTGCACACGAGTCTTATTCATCTATCTGTCTGCTTCGTAAATCACTTGGTATTTTCATACCCTTTATACACTCCATTTAGAGACTAAGTTACATAAATTTACTCAGACTTACTCATATAAGAGTTGTGACTTGATGATAATCCAGGACGGACCAAAACCTCGTCTACAGCTTCCTCCTAAAGTTAATGAATTGTTTCAGCTACAGTACTGACTCATTTGGGGAAGGGGGGGGGGGATGTGAAATACCCAACTGAATTTATTCCATAAACAGACCTGCTCACAGAGACCTTTTAACACACCAGCCTTCTCACCAAGGTAGGGGCGACCCAAAAAATGAAAACCCCTTCACCACCATTCCTTCAATAATTGAATTGCTAGGAGTGCGCAGGAATCACAATTCAAACGACTCTTATGAACTGCAATATCCTCACCCATCCAGAGTGCAGGCAGCGTACTTCTCCCCTAAACTACTCAAATCTCTCTAACCGGTTTCCCTGAATCCCATCATACATGGTACCCCGGTCACACTCCGACAGCACGTCAAGCCACTCACTTTAATACTCAAATCTCGTGCAAGTTTATCCACTTAATAGACCTGGTCATAGAAAATAAAGAGTAAAGGAATGCTCATATAAACTGACTTAAACAGATCTACTCGTATATATTTATTCAATATACTCTTAACAAATCTGTTCTCAAATTAATTCATAAATCAGAACCGCTCATATATTAGTCAGTAAAAACTGGCTTATATAAATTTATTAAGAACACACCTGTTCGCATAAAGTTTCTCAATAATCAGCAATGATCAAACAAGTTAGTCATTACTGAGACCTTTCTATTTACATTTTCTCAATAAAAACTATTAATTAAAATTTATTCGTACATGTTGATATAAATTTATGAGAAATACATGCCCATACAAATTTGATCAATTTACTGTACATTCCTAGTCATACAAATCAATAAGTTTCTTGTAAGGAAGTCTGAAGGTTCGAATAACATTGAGTAGAGTGTCGCAGTGATCCTGATTAATGTCCACCATGAAGCTCTCCACGGAATCTATGGTACTGAGGGTGATCAAGGTTTCCTCCTATCAGGCATCCGCTTTGGGATGCTTTGCAGGAGGAAACTAATGACAGCATCCGCCCCTTGGCCTTGGCAGCGATCCTCGGCGGATGGTTCAGGCCTGCAAAAACACTCAGTAGTACCGCAAGTTTACGCCTGGATGAGAAGTGGCAACATCTTGGTGAAAGAGGTTGACTACATTGACGCCCTCAACATAAAATGCAATCTCATGCCCACTAAGACGAGAAAATCCCGAGGTAGGAGAGGCATTCACAGTGTCAACTGTACAGGCTGAAGCCAGAGACCCTAGGTCATATATTACAAAAATGCCCCAGTACGCATGAGCAGAGTTAAAGGACATGGCTTTATCGTCGGTTCCATTGCAAACGAAAGAAGTCTGCTGTGGTTAAGGAGTCAGCTATAAGCACAAGAGAGGGACTGCGGAAGCCGGATTTGGTTTTACATGATGCACTAAAGAGTGTCTATATATACTCGATGTTAAAGTAGGGACTGACTCAAATATTACGAGCACTGCCCAGCAGTTCCATCGAAATGAGGAATACAACGATACGGGTCAGATCAGGCGGTGGACTGCCAGCTAGGCGACACTACGGAGAGCGATTAATAACTTAGAAAACTGTCCCAACTGTCCGACGTACAACGCACATCCCCTGACGAAATAATCCTGGGTGCCGTCGTCATCACATGGCGGGGAATTATAGCCTCTGAGACATACCTTCCTACATAAAGCCTTGGGGATTAGTGTGGCGGAGATTGAAATATGTGGTCCAAACAATAGGGGGATGGGATGCACGATGGGTTGGGGGGTAGGAGGCGGAGATGCATAGAGCCTCTCTGACCTATGGTATTCAACTGGAGAAATATTTGGTCAGCAGTCTATCAATCATTCTTAATGTTTCAATGAACTTCAGCTACGGCTAAAAGGAGAAAAAAAATCGTCCGGGATCGTTTTCATTGAGGTACGGCTGAATCTGACGGTTCACGCTGTAAGCATAATTTTTTTTTCAACACATCGGCCGTCTCCCACCAAGACAGGGTGACTCAAAAGAGAAAGAAACGCTTTTAACATCATTAACATACAATCAGTCTTTGCAAAGGCGCTCAAATATGACAGCTTAGATATTACTTCAAACAGCCAATATCCCAAACCTCTACTTTAAAGTGCAGGCATTGTACTTCCCACTACCAGGACTCAAGTCCTGGAGATGGGAAAGGAACACTAGTGAGGTAGAAACAGCGATGCAAAATAGTGATACACAAGAGTAAGAAGATGACTCAGAATCCCCCACACTGAACAAAACTATGAGTGCCACAAAAAAAAAAAAAACACTAAAGTGCCAGGGGTATCTGCAGATATGGATTAAGATGCAAGTACTGACACAGCTGCCAACAACTAAAAGAGAAGGCTGACTTACCTGCGTATTCTTTATGTTCCAAGAGAATATGCCAGACAATCTAGCAGCACTTACGCTTTAACAATCATTTTATTAGAAAAAATATAACATAAAAAAAGTGTCAATAACATATATTTCTATATAAATACAGTGGTAACTATTATAATATTAAATAAATAACTATAAAGGATAAGAGAACATATATATATATATACAGACAAATAAATAAAAAACATGGTCAGTGTCACAAATAAACCCACCGACGAGAACAACAACAAAACAAAGATGAGTATTGTACATATTGGTACAATACTCACCTTTGGTACAAGTACACCCGCTCTCCGGGCGGGTGTACTTGTACCATTATTTTCTACCTACTTCACTAGGAACAATAAATCCACCAACGTATTTCTACTTTTCATGTACACTTTATCACTACAATATCTTTTATTATTTTCTTTATATATCTCACATGTTTTAATAATTAGCACAGCATAACCATCTACTGGTATATATCTGACAACTGTATGTGCTAAACAACGTGTCGTTCATATATACATCAGTATATACCTAAATTTATGTCTGTTATCAGTCTTAGTAAAGCCTCTTAAACAAATTCTATGATATACATCGCCTCTACACAAGAGCTATTTCCAGTTGCTTGTTTTCGCTGTAGGAGAGCGTAAGTGTATATATACAAGGATATAGTGGCCTGTATCTGGTGGTGACAGTCTAGGTATCTAGTGGTGACAGTGTATGTCTAGTGGTTATAATAAAAATTTGGTATGAAATCTAATAATGCCACAGCAGAAATCTAGTTCTCGACCTCGCCACTGTTCGAGGATATTCAGAACGAAGTGCGTCTGGACGCTTCACTTATCGTATACAGAAGACCAGGTCACTAGTCTGGTGTTCTCTCTCTCTGTATCCAGGTACATCTTTTCCTGGTAGGGGTACCAGGTTACCAAGCTGTTGGAATCCCCGTCCTGGGTTTCCCTTAGTATATCTTCCTGGGAATCCCACTGTGGTGCTCGGGTTTCCTGTTTTTTTTGGCAAGTGTTCTACATTACTATTATATTCAATTACATTTTTGCTAAGTTTTTCTTTAATGCCATAAAATCTGTCGTAGTCCCACATAGGAAGGACATAGTAGGGTTTACTGGTAATAATGGCTGCAGGTGGTGGCCCCGCCAGCGGTATCTTCGCCACCAGTTCATCTTCATTAATACGATCTGATCTCGGTGGCTTTATACGAGGAAGGATATGCATTGGCGCTCTGGTAGGCCAGTTGTTGTTATGTATTATAGTATCAGGATACCAGGTGATCAGGTCTCCTGCCTGACCTTCCCGCTCCTCTGCAAGACCTAATACGTTCCTTCTGACTCTCATTTTATCTGTTATCTTTTCACTAGTCTCTCCTAAGTCACCGGCATTTCTGCCGTCATGGTCGCCAGACACGGAGTCAGAGGCTGCAGTGACTCCATCAGCGTCAGCTCCGACTAACATACTTCCAGCTCTTAAATCGTCTCCCGACGTGGTACTGGGCATTTCTGACACCAGTGATATGAAGGTGCCGGATACCTTAGAGTTCGTAACGTGAAGCGCAGTCGTTGCCTCCTCTACACCCTCCTCCAGGTGGCTTTCAGCATGCTGAGGAAAGGATGACACCAAAGACAGGGAAGAAAACGGAAAAACAGGAGACCGAGATAATGTAGGTAAGGAGCTGAAAGACAGAGGTAAGGGAGAGACGTCAGGAGATATTGTTGAAGTGAGGTCACCATCTAAATAAGAGCTTCCCTCATTAGCGGTTCCTGCCACCTCTTCCAAAGACTCTGATAAGAAAGATGTTGACACTGTTATTGGAGAGTTCTCTCTTGCATCACTGGAAGGCATCTTAGCAAACATAGTTGGCCTAATCTGATGAATATCTGCAGCTGAATCTGAGAATCTAGCATTTGATCTTTCTCGGTTTAGTGTTAAGTCATTAGAGGGGGTAGCGGGATGAGATGGCTTAGGTTTGTTTATCTCTCTCTCTGCCTGTATGGTTGTGTCTTCTAGTTCACCCAACTGTCCTGACTCGCCAGGTTCTGCTTTCCCATTTCTCGTGACATTGAGATACGAGAGATTACTTGCAGAGCCAGAATTATTTTTGGAGTTGTTTCGCAACTGAGATGAGCCATTCTCTAATGAGTCAGTACTTAAATTCCGCCGTCTGATCGAATATTCCTCTCTAATGGTGGGGTCGCCCAACTGAGTGCTGTTATTTTGTCGGCGAAGAGTCTTAGTACCTAAGGAATTAACCGTAGTATTGCCATGTGTGGCTACTGTGTTATTGACAACGCTAAACTCAGCGTCCCTACCGTGCGTCCTCTCTCTCACTCCACTTTGAGAGTCGCTACTCATTTCAGGTAACAGAGAGATTACGAAAGTATCACCAAAACTCGTCTCTCCGACCTTCCTCACCTCAGCAGTTTTAGAAATCGGACCAGCCGAGGAGAGGTTCTTACTTCCGTGCTCCTCTCCTGGCTGATATGAAACTTCTTGAAGATCGGAGACATTATACCTCAGAGCACTGTTATTGCCAAGGGAAGTTACTAGAGACTGACCAAAGCTTGGCAGCGTCTCTTGCAGCGTCTTCGACACAAGACTGGGGACTTGCACGTTCTTGAAAGTTTCATCCTGCAGCAAGTCAATACCATCTGTTGGGTCAGTGCGAGGAGTAACTCCACTTTGAGTGAAGTTAAGCAGAGGATTGGCATATTGATCAACCTGCAGATGGTGGGGGCTATCTGGTAGGGGTCTTGGGGCTCTGCGCTCAAGACCTGGAGTTAACCCTGCCGGGATACCAAGCGGAAGACCAGCAACGAGATCAGGGGATAGGAGGGAGATGTTGAGGAAGTGTTCAGAGAAGTTCCGCTTTCCAGGATGGAATACACTCCGCCCGAGACCAAACGTAGGCACCATCCTTACCTTAGCATCTGTAAGGAAGAACACCATAGGTTATCACACAGTAACTTAATATCTCTAGAAAAAAAATGTTAATACACAGTAAAACCCTAAAACATAGCAAATACTTGTCAAATGGATAAACCGCCAATAAAACATACCAACGGGGTGATTATGTAATGATTAGTCTAGATGGTAGATGGCGAGAATATTTTGAGGAACTTTTAAATGCCGACGAAGAAAGGGAGGCAGTAATTTCATGCACTGGCCAGGGAGGTATACCATCTTTTAGGAGTGCAGAAGAGCAGGATGTGAGTGTGGGGGAGGTGCGTGAGGCATTACGTAGAATGAAAGGGGGTAAAGCAGCTGGAACTGACGGGATCATGACTGAAATGTTAAAAGCAGGGGGGGACATAGTGTTGGAATGGTTGGTATTTTTGTTTAATAAATGTATGAAAGAGGGGAAGGTACCTTGGGATTGGCGGAGAGGGTGTATAGTCCCTTTATATAAAGGGAAGGGGACATAAGAACATAAGAACGAAGGAACACTGCAGAAGGCCTACTGGCCCATGCGAGGCAGGTCCAAGTCTCCTACCGGCTTAAGCCAATGCACCCAACCTAGTCAGGTCAGGTCACATTGACTTAAGGGAGGAACACGGCAACCGACCTGGTAGCACAAGCTATCAGGTCCAACTCACACCCACCCACATCCACTCATGTATTTATCCAACCTATTTTTAAAGCTACACAACGTTCTGGCCTCTATAACTGTACTCGGGAGTTTGTTCCACTCATCCACAACTCTATTACCAAACCAGTACTTTCCTATATCCTTCCTGAATCTGAATTTTTCCAACTTAAAACCATTGCTGCGAGTCCTGTCTAGGCTAGATATTTTCAGCACACTATTTACATCCCCTTTATTTATTCCTGTCTTCCATTTATACACCTCAATCATATCCCCCCTAATTCTACGTCTTTCTAGAGAGTGCAGATTCTGAGTATACCAGGAAAAGTGTACGGTAGGGTTATTATTGAAAGAATTAGAGGTAAGACAGAATGTACAATTGCGGATGAGCAAGGAGGTTTTAGAGTGGGTAGGGGATGTGTAGCATATATGTGAGCAGTATTTAGATAAAGGTAGGGAAGTTTTTATTGCATTTATGGATTTAGAAAAGGCATATGATAGAGTGGATAGGGAAGGAATGTGGCACATGTTGCAAGTACATATATGGAATAGGCGGTAAGTTACTAAATGCTGTAAAGAGTTTTTATGAGGATAGTGAGGCTCAGGTTAGGGTGTGTAGAAGAGAGGGAGAATACTTCCCGGTAAAAGTAGGTCTTAGACAGGGATGTGTAATGTCACCATGGTTGTTTAATATATTTATAGATGGGGTTGTAAAAGAAGTAAATGCTAGGGTGTTTGGGAGAGGGGTGGGATTAAATTATGGGGAATTAAATGCAAAATGGGAAGTGACACAGTTACTTTTTGCTGATGATACTGTGCTTATGGGATATTCTAAAGAAAAATTGCAAAGGTTAGTGGACGAATTTGGGAGAGTGTGTAAATGTAGAAAGTTGAAAGTGAACAAAGAAAAGAGTAAGGTAATGAGAGTATCAAATGACTTAGATCAAGAAAAATTGGATATCAAATTGGGGAGGAGGAGTATGGAAGAAGTGAATGTTTTCAGATACTTGGGAGTTGACGTGTCAGCGGATGGATTTATGAAAGATGAAGTCAATCATAGAATTAATGAAGGAAAAAAGGTGAGTGGTGCGTTGAGGTATATGTGGAGACAAAAAATGTTATCTATAGAGGCAAAGAAGGGAATGTATGAAAGTATAGTAGTACCAACACTCTTATATGGGTGTGAAGCTTGGGTTGTAAATGCTGCAGCGAGGAGGTGGTTGGAGGCAGTGGAGATGTCCTGTCTAAGGGCAATGTGTGGTGTAAATATTATGCAGAAAATTCGGAGTGTGGAAATTAGGAGGTGTGGAATTAATAAAAGTATTAGTCAGAGGGCTAAAGAGGGGTTGTTGAGGTGGTTTGGTCATTTAGAGAATGGATCAAAGTAGAATGACATGGAGAGCGTATAAATCTGTAGGGTAAGGAAGGCGGGGTAGGGGTCGTCCTCGAAAAGGTTGGAGGGGGGGGGGGTTAAAGGAGGTTTTGTGAGCGAGGGGTTTGGACTTCCAGCAAGCGTGCGTGAGCGTGTTAGGAGTGAATGGAGACAAATGGTATTTGGGACCTGACGATCTGTTGGAGTGTGAGAAGGGTAATATTTAATGAAGGGATTCAGGGAAACCGATTATTTTATATAACCGGACTTGAGTCCTGGAAATGGGAAGTACAATGCCTGCACTCTAAAGGAGGGGTTTTGGGATATTGGCAGTTTGGAGGGATATGTTGTGTATTTTTATACGTATATACTTCTAAACTGTTGTATTCTGAGCACCTCTGCAAAAACAGTGATTATGTGTGAGTGAGGTGAAAGTGTTGAATGATGATGAAAGTATTTCTCTTTTTGGGGATTTTCTTTCTTTTTGGGTCACCCTGCCTCGGTGGGAGACGGCCGACTTGTTGAAAAAAAAATAGTCTAAATAAGCATGGATGAACATCAGCCGTGTTTATCCCTATTCTATTCTATCATTTGTTACTCCTTACCAATAAAAATATCATAGACCGAAGGCTTTGTTGCCGCTGCTAGAGGTCTGAAGCTTTGTTGTGTTAATCACTCACGGAATTAATAAGAGTATTATGATTATTCCTTTTACGATAATGACATTACAAGGGCAAGAGTTCACTGTCAGGATGACTTCTCAGCTCAAATCTCGAGATAATACCAGTGAACCTTGGGTGAAAATGGAAGATACTAACAATGTGATGCTGTGTATTTACGTGGGTCGATCAGTAGAGTTATGTGCCCCCGGGTCTGGGTCCCGTCATATAGGATATTGAGACCTTCATAGGCTACTGGTATCCTACCTCCCTGTAACATTACGAAACGAATATACCTATTGTAACAAATCCGTCTGTTCCCTTCCTCAACACAACACGTCGAACTGGAGCTCGATTACCACAAATGCAGATAAGTGAGCATGTACACTCACACGAATGCAACATTTCCAGCAGGTTATAAAATGCTGAGGAAAGAACGAAAGAGAAAACGGGTGAGGGAGTATTATGAGATGAGAATACACAGCGGCTCAGTCACATATGCTCAGTCATTACTGCAGGACCTAAAGTAATAGTTACAGCAATCTACAAGCCACAGCCAAACAACCAAGCCTGAATATAAAAACAAACTGACAACGGTTAACACCATAGAAGAAGCAGTAAAGAGAGACTCAATGATCAAAGTAAAGCTACTGATTATCGGATACTTTACACATAGCGAAACAGACTGAGAGAAATGAAAACCACATGGAGGACCTGGCAGGTAGAAGGGTAGGATGATATCAGACATAATAAAAAAAAAGGATGGGATGAACTAGAAAGACTTGAGTTTAGAATAAATGGCACTCAGATGCAGTGGATATCCTTGTTACCGACAACGCATAAAATCTGTTTAGATTTTTAACCGGGAGGGTTAGCCACCCAGGATAATCCAAGAAATTCAGTGCATCATCGAGAACTATTTTATTTCCAGTGAGGTCCTTCAGTCTTGTCTCCCAGGATGCGACCCACAAAAGTCGACTAATACCTAGGTGAACAGGGACAACAAGTGTAAGGAAACATACCCAACATTTCCACCCATGCCGGGGATTGAACCACGGACACTCAGTTTGAGGCGAGAGCGTTGTCAAGCCAACGAAGAATCTTCAGCAAGTCACTGACTCTGAGGGCAAAACGTTGTTAATAATGTTATGCACTGCGTCTAAGCGTCCTTCATTACATCATATTGGTATTTACATACCATTCCAGTTCCAAGACTGGACCTTGATGTCACTTTCAGCACATCTGACAGAAAAAAAAACTGATTACAGGAAGCCTCTTGATGCTGGTGCCACACAGCCCTGAGGTTCGACTACCTGGCAGAGATAAACCTAGACAGGAGCACAGCAGGAGCAGCAAGGGATAAACCAACCTTAAGGTGAGAAGAATGTGAAAGAATGAGGTTTCCTGAATGCAGTACAAAGAGAAAGGAACTGGGAGGAAAGATAATGAGATGACTGAGTGCCTAGCCAGGCAATGCTGAAAGGTAGAAGAGGAATTCAAACCCAAAAAGGAAAGAGAGCCTATGACTTGCTGAAAGATGTACACAAGCGAAGACAAGAAGCACAAGACTATGGAGAAACTACAGGAAGAAGAAACACTGACACTGCTGCACAGTAACATCAAAAGACAGCAGTAAAAGATGAGACAAGACTGAAGAAGGAAAGAAAGTTTCCGAGGAATGATAATTTAGTCTGCCATGAACTGAACAAATGATTCAGGGAAGAGTTTTCCATGGTAAGGTAAATACCAGAGTGAAACAAAAAAGAAAGACTATACCAGCAGTCACTGAATTCCATCAGCAAAATACAGCAGAAATAAAGAAGCGTCTCAGTGAACTGGATACAATAAAGGCAGTTGTACCTGACACTGCGTTACTAGAGAGGCGTTATAAAAACTGACATGTCACTGGAAGTTTGTTAGTTTAATATGTTTATTATGCACCCCATACCCATCCTGTGGGCGGTAGTCAAAAGATTACAGAGGTACATAATTGGTCCAGGGACTGGACTCCAAAGTTTTGATGGCTGAACTAGGTACACAGGTAATGAACTCACAAGTTACAAAGGTAATGAATACTGTAAGAATGGTTACTTACGTTTATACATGGCTACAATCATGAACAAGTTATAGTGTAATGAGCAATTCACACTTCCACACCCGGTCACAACTGTAATGAGTTGTTATTGGTGCAAATATTGATTGTTGAGTCACACACACACACACATACAAATTCATACACACACACACACACACACATAAACACACACACACACCACACACACACACACACACACACACACACACACACACACA